CCCGGAGGGGTGAAAATCACCCTACGGCGCCCCCGCTCCATCCCAGCGGCAGACTCATAGATTCCAAGGCCAGGAGGGACCTTCTATCTAGTCTAGATCTCTCTGATCTTCTGTCTAGTCTGACCTGGAAGATCAGAGAGATCTAGGGTATCTAGTTGGACCTCCTGCAGGACGCTGGGCCTAGGATGCAGGGAGGCGGAGGGAGGCCTGCGTTTCGCCTGCCTTTCACAAGCAGGGCAGGACCTTTCCTTGCCCTCTCCCTCTCCGCTGTACGGGGTAGGGCCAAGCAAATCACGGAGTACAGGATCTTCAGATCAATCTTTAATTGGTGCCGGGTGATGGAGGCAGGCTGGGGGGATTACAGGGTCCATTTCCCTGTCAGCCAGGAGGGGAGAGCCCCCAAAGCCCTTCGAGCGGATGACAACTGCCTCTGTGCTCTTCGGCCCCGGGCTAATCGGTTCCTGTTCCTAACACTTCTCCTGGGCTCTCTCCCCCACTTACGATTGTCTTTCCTGCTCTGCCCTGGGCTCTGGGGCTTCTCCTTTATCCCCCAGTGCGACGAGCATCCGTCCAAGTCGACCTTGGGGCTGCCCAGCTGTACCGTTCCTAAGCAGAGAATCAGTCAATCCAAGACCCTGCCTCCCTCCTCTGCTGCCGCGCGGGCAGTTGGTTTAGCCCGCAGCCCCCGGCGCGATTAAACTTCTCTCTGCAGATAAAGCGGCAGTGGCACCTTTTGCCTCGGCCTCCCAGGAGCCAGGCCTGCAAAGGCAGCAGCTCCTGCAGCATGGGAAGAATTGCGATCTCCCCCGGCCAGATGCCACAGTGATGGGCCCGGTCGGAGAACGTGGATGGAGAGAGATCAGCAGCCTGCCGGGTGGAGTTGGTGCCATGTGATCCACCTGCAAAAGGCTCCTTCCTTTTTCGCCAACCCCTGCAGAGACCCCAGGACCCACCGGGAGCCTGACTTCTGGCACGTCGGCCTGAATCCAGCCCTGGCCAGACCCCACGGAAGTTGGTGCTGACTCCAGCCAGGTGCAGGTCCACGTGCTGAAGCCAAGGAACTGCTGCCGTCTCGGGCTGAGGAGCAAGGCCAGCACGATGCTCCAGGCCGGTTTCTAGCCCCGATGCAGGACTCCCGCTCCGCCCTTGGCTGAAGTCGACCTGGGTGGAGCAGGGCTCAGGCTTGCTAAGCCAGCTGGCCGGTGCCCACGCTCTGCCCTCCTGTAGAGCAGCACCCGGGCCTCAGAGCGCTGACGCTCGCCCATGAGCTTGGTGACAGCCCGGGGAGGGAGGTCAATAGACTTAGCCCATTTCAGGAGGGCCCGGGGGCAGCTGCAGGCGTGGAAGAGGAGCCTCCCGTTTAGAGTGCCCATCTTGGCACACCTTGGGCCTGATTTTCAGTGGCGCTGCCGCTGCGGGTGCCCTGCCCCTCCGAACACCAGCCCCCAAAGAGCTTCTAGTTCAGTGGTTCGGAACCCATTTACTATTGGTGGGTCGCATGGGCAGCTCTCTCTGTGGGACACAACCACACCATATACACACTCCCTGGATGGCCCTGAGGATGTCACATGGGCCACAGCTGTGTGCGGATTGGGCTGCAAGTGGCCCCCGGGTCGCAGGTTGAGAACCACTGCTCTAGCTGGACAGACAGACAGATGGAGGCACCCATCATCAGAGGGCACTTGGGAGCCAAGTCTCAGATCCCCAAAGGCTTCCAGGCACCTAACTCCCATTGAAACCAGTAGGATTTAGGTGCTGCAATACCTCTGCGGATCTGGGCCAAGCGCGTCAGCAGTAGCGGAGCTGGGATCTGAAGTCAAACTCCCCCACTCGTGCTCAGGCCACACTGCTGCCCCAAAGGTGGGCTCAGGCATTCAGATTGGTTTGTCGGGGTGCAGGGGGGATTGGGGTTCCCAGCCATCCAGGAAAGGGGGGGGTTGAGAGACACCCTCCTGTGCCCCACCCCCACTTTAAGCAAACCTGGGCTCTCAGCTGGAGGGAAAAGCTGTTAAACCAAAGGGCCAGATGGGAGCCGAGGCTCAGCCCATGCCCGGCAGCGCCCGGGTCAGGCACTCCGTGCAAAGATTGAGGAGAAGCCACTGCAGATAACTCTGCAAACTGTCCTTCGCCGGGAGCGGTTCTCATGCCAGGAGGGGGAGAGGCAGGGAGAAGAGGCAGCCAAGGTGGCCTTGAGCTCTTGCCTGGAATAAACAAGCCGGCCCATCCCCACCCAGCTGGCCGGCCGGCTCGGGGAACTGGCGCAGAGCCCTGGCGCAGCCCCAGGCGCTTCAGCTAGCTCAGCACGGCCCCAGCCATGGGTCCGGCTCAGCCGAGCCTACGCTGAGGGCACAGCTCCGTGGTTAGCCCCACCACCCTGCAATGCTGCTGCCCTGGTCGTCCCCAGCGACCCTCACACCGGAGCCGAGCAGCGGGATGAAGGGTCCCTCGCGCTGACAGGGCCGGGGGCTCACAGGGGACAATGCAGGGGGAGGCCCAAAGTCCTGAGTCTCCGCGCTCACGAGTGGAGTGGGGCAGGAACCAGCTTTCCCATCCCCCACAACGTTCCCGTTCTCCATGAGGAGGAAACCGAGACCCTTCGACTGTGTGTGGAGAGAGAACAGCCCGGAGCCCCGTGGTTAGGGTAGAGTAGCTGCTCTGGGGTCCTGCTCTCTCCCCTCTACCAGAAACTCCATCCTGGACCTGAGAACCCTTCCCAACACAAGTTTTGTCCAGACAAACCCTTTCCCATGGAAAGTTTTGGTCTCAACTTGTCAGAAATCCCTGACCAAAACCCCAGGCCCGCTCAGTTCTCGTGGCTAGAAGCTGGGGGTGACACTTGTCCCTAGGAGTCAGGTTTTACCTGGTTGCAATTAAGCCAGATCATTAGGCTGAAGTCTTTATTGACAGAGGCAGCGTGGTCTAGCAGACAGAGAACCACCCTGGGACTCCAGAGACCTGGATTTGTTCCCAGCTCTGCCAGCGACGGATTGTATGACCATAGGCAAGTCACTTCACCTGCCTCCATTTCCCCACCCACCCTTTGGCTGTTTAGATTGTGATCATGTTGGGGCAGCCGCTGCGTATTCTGTGCGCATCCAGCACCGGGCACCCTGGGTCCCACTCGCAGCTAGGGCCTCTAACTGTTACCGGGAGGCCAATGATATTTAATAAACCTCCCTGATGACAGGCACCGTCCCAAGCTCTGGGGCCCTGACCGTGCATTTAAAAACCACAGCACCAACACGGATCCCAGACACAAAACCATCTGAGACCCCAGCACTGCCAGACCGTCTCCCCCACACAGCTGATCCTCAGTCACATAATACGGCAGCTTGGGACCCCTCCCCACAGCCCTACCCCGTGGCAGCTCAGACCAACAGGCGTTGCAGCATACCTGGAAAGTCAAAAGACTCCAAGCTGGGGGGGGTGGGAGGAGAGAAGTATCCGCATCTCAGAGGGGCTCCAGCAAGCCCCCTCAATGACACAGGGAGAAAGGCAGGTCCCAAGGCAGATAGGGAGGTGGAATATGCAGCCCTAACTTCCTCTTGCAGTTCCAAATTAGCTTCTTCACCTCCCATCCCGCCTGGCGCCGCTGTGCCCCGTTCATTAGTGGCCACGTTTCGCCCCGGCCTTGGCGGAGGGGAAGAGGGTGCTGCACGGGTCCTGAAGGCCCCCCACCCTCAGAGGGGCTGGAGTCACACAACAGCTTGCAGGGGGCGAAGGGGTCAGGCCCAGCATTCAGCCCTGCTCTTATCAGCGGCTGGCAGCTGAGCCCTTGCACACAGCCGCGGGCACGCTGCTCACTGCCGATAAAAGCTGTTATCCTAAAGATGCTGGCAAAGTCCCGGTCAGCAAAGGGCCCCTCAGCCCAGGAGCTGTAGGAATCCAGCGCCTCCCTCAGCGGCAGGCAAGTCGCAGCAGCTTGGTTCTTTAAGCCCCTTCCCTAATGCCAAGCCTTTGCCACCCTCCACAGATACCCACTTCCTTACGCCGTGGGTTGAAGGGGATTGGCACAGATCTCGCCCTCACCAGGAGGGACGCTCTGAGAAGGGGATGCTGCTCTAGCCGGAGCCCCTCCCAACCCCAGGCAGTGCTGGGAGCACGGCCTGACCTGTTACGAGGCAAGTTGGCTTTTTGGGGGCTTGTGAATCTTACAACCACGAGGAGAAGTCCCATTTTCTGCCCCATCGCCGTACCTCCTTGATGAACGTCGCATCCTTACCCCGTACAAAGACCACATGTTTAACAGAGCCGGTCTCTTTCGCTCTGTGGGGCCTTGGGCAGATCCCACTCGACTCAGACGGCTTGAGGCGTGGGAGTGGGGGCTTATTCGCTTTTGATCAGATGTATGGCAGCGCCGCCCGGTCCCTCCTGCCCCAGATGAGCGCACAGGCACATGCACATTTCAAATTTGGCTCCTGCAAATGGGTTATGCCCAGGACTTCGAAAGCTGCTGTGACTGACCACTCAGGCCAGTGATGGAGACAAAATTCCAAAGGCAGTAGGAACCGGAGTGAAACAAACTCACTTAAAATCCCCATGAACACTCCTGTCTTGTTAGGCGGTGGGCTCTTTAGGGCAGGGGCTGTGCCTCAGTACAATAGGCCCCGATCCTGCTTTCAGCTGCCACAGCGCTACTAATCATGGAACCACTTTTGCTTTGCTCAGCCAAAGTTCGTGATGGCGGACACGCAGCCGTCTGCAGAGGGCTGGCACGTGGCTGACGCACATCCCCTGCGCTTGGGACGCGACGGACCCGAGAGCTCAGCTCCTGTTTTAGGTACCTACACAAGCGGCCAGATTTTCCAGCGTGCACTGAACAAGGGTCACGTGGAGCCGAGGCCTAGTGGGGGCTCTCTGCCCTGGGGGGGAGTTTCACTCTCCAGGAAGGCAGAGCAGACCCATTGCTCTAGCTAGTTTCAGACGCAGGCGTGTGATTCGAAGCAGAGCACCCGGGGAAGGAAATTAACAGGCATTTGGAAAAAAAAAGTCAACTTTATTTCTCATCAAAACAGAATTGGCAACAAAGTCACAACAATCAGCATTTTCACCCCCACTTGGGAGGAAACCCATCCAAAAACAATAACTTACACAGAATGACGGCTCTGCGACCGGTCCTTCACCACAGCGACAGGCGGGGCTGTCAGTTCCACACACTAGACACTCCAGGGAAAGCAAGAGTGGGAAGGAGGGAACGGCTGCCGACCGGCAAAGCTCAGACAGTGGGCATTTCACAGTGACCTGCACGAGTGTGAAATGCTGTGGCACATCTGGATAAAGCTACAGACATCTGCTTCACCCCTCCCCCCGCCCCTCCAAAGTCTCACACACTGCAGTCTCCCATCCCTCCCTACTGGCATACGGGGACTGGCCAACTTCACAAACACAAACGGATACTGCTGTCCAGAGCTTACCCTGTGCAAGCCTGCCAGCAGGGCAAGAGCACGTCACCTCGCACGCGGGCGTGGGAAAGAGAAGCCAGCTTGAAGGAGCAGGGGCAGCCCATCTCAAACAGCGCTAACCGTCTTGATTTCACAGCGCATCAGCTGTCAGAATGTGCAGTGCGACAGTGGGGGAAGAGTGGTCCCACGCTTGTGCAAAGGGATTGCCTCTAGCCGGAGAAAAGGAGACACCCACAACACTCTGCATTGCAAGAGCAAGGAGCGTGTGTGTGTGTAAAAATAAAAAACACACATATAGCCCAGTCTGTTTGTACACAAACCTTGCTTTACAATGGAGTGTATATATTATACACATACGCATTACACACGTGCATTGTACCCCAAGGGTGCGTGTACATAGTCCTTGCTTTACAACGCAGCATGTAGAACACACGCGATATCCTGCATCGTGTAATGCTTTCCAAAAAAAAGGAACGTGACCAGAGAAGATCTGCCCCCGGGCAGAAAAAGTGGGTCGTAAGTCTCAATTGCTCTATGCCTGGTTTTAAGTGGACATCACCCCAGAAGCATTTGCCCTCTTTGTAGTCTCTCTTACAGCAGCCAGCAAGTCAGGCTGATTTCATTTGTGTTTCTAGCTAATTGAAATATTGACAGCAATTAAGAAAGACCCTGAGAATCCCCACCCAGTTTGACTCCTGCAATGAATGGCTGGTTCTGGTGTGGAGTCCACAGTGGAGCTGCTCACAGCCCTCCTGGGTGGACTCAAGAGGCAAATGGTCCCTCTGTCTTTGGCAAGAGGAGGGAAACTCACCCATGTGCAGAGGTTCTAGCATTAGGCCGATGCACCACTTACGTCCCGCTTCAGAACAGAGGGCGGTAAGCGGGACATAGGCCTCGCTGAGGGTGAATTTACCCTCAGGGCCTCTCGACCTACCAAGAACAGACATGGGACGCTGCGCAAAACAGACCCAAAATGACAGGCACAAAGAAAAAGGCCTCGTTCAGAAAGCGTCACACGGTGTATGCTCCCCACCTCCAGCACACACCGCCTGCATCCTAGGACCTCAGAGCAAGGGCTATTTCGGAGACAAGACTTTTCAGCAGCAGAGAGGACGGGGTGCCTGACATGGGAGGAACGTAGGTAACGTGGGGGCTGAAACGCGGGACACTTGAGAGAGGGGACGGAGGTGGGTGGGGCGAGCGGATGAGGCTGGTTTCAGGACGAAGCCAGGTACAAGTAGCAAGAGGTGAAGAGAGCAGCCTCCAAGTTTGCTTCACAGTTTCGAACCTCCGTGCGTGGCTAGGGCGGCCTGGTGCCAGGAGCGGGAGGGACACACGTTCTGGGGAGGTTTCACCCTTTAGCTCTCCGCACACACGGCACAGACCCCCCCACACCGCGCTGATCAGAGGAAGGGGAGCCAGACTTGCACACGCCATGGACCATGAGGGCACAGGATATGTGCAAGACAAACGCGCCCAGGTTGCTGCAGCCTGCCACCCCCGGGCAAGACCTGCTTCTACTGGGCACTTCCAAGCCCTGAACTGGAGACCCCTGTCAGCAGTGCAGGGGATCACGTCCACAGGGGCTCTCCCCCAGGCCCTGACAGCAGGAGCTTCCGGCCCAAACTCTACTGCCCGGGCGGAGAGGCTCACACCCAGTGCACGGCCCGACCGGGGCGTGTCTGCAGGGCTGAGCACTGCGGAAGGGGCTGTGGGCTTCAGGTTACCCTACCCGGACAAGCGCCTGCCCGCCCTTTGAGGCAGGGGCTGGGCAGAACAGCCCCACAGACATGGGCATTCCACCCGTGCCCCGATCTCCCTCCATCCCCAGCCCAAAGGCATTCAGTGGAGCAAAGCTCTGGAGAGCAGGAGCAGGGGGCACTCGGCCAAGAAGAAACGTAGTGTGGTGGCCGTGGCAGCAGCATGGGGCTGGGGGAATTTGTGCCCTTGGCCCTCCCCACCGGGCCCCGTGGGAGATGGCCAGTGCCCGGCGGGACGGCTCTCAGCCTTACAGCAACACACGCGGAGAGGCCACGCTGGGCCATGGGGGCAGGGAGAAGAGAGACGCACGTTCGTGGGAGCCGGGTAAGCCCGCCGGCAGAGCGCCCTTTGGTACGAGGCAAGGCCCTTCCCTTCCCCTCAGCAGCCCCAGGCCCGGCATCTCAGTTCTCTGCTGTCCATTGCACTAGTCACCAGCCTCAGGATGGGCCTGTGCGGCACAGAGGGGGCAGCAGCCAGCGAGGGAGGGAGGGAGCTCAGTCTGATTTCGTTACACGCTAACACTATAAAGGCACGTCCACTTCAAGGCAGCGGCAAGAGTCCTGCTGTGGAGTCCGGCCGTGGAGTCCGGCAGCCTGGCTGACAGGCCCCAGGATGGCTCCTGCCGGGCAGCATCCGCGGGAACACTGGGCATGGCGGAGGCGGTTCTTCGTTACACGGGGAAGGGGCTGAGTAGTTCGGTGTCTAACGGCCCCAGGGAGAGTGGGGGGAGGAGCCCCTCAGGCCCATCGCTCCAGGGGGCCCAGAGTATTTCCCGACGGATCCCAAACCCACGTCGGTGAAGTCAGGCTCCCCCGCAGCGCGGCGCGTCCCTGGCAGGGCGTGGGGAACGCAGCCCCGTCAGGTCATGTAGCGGGTGATGGCTCTCAGCGCGTACAGCAGGGCCGCCTGCATCCGGGCCTCCAACAGGAGCAGGTTCACGTGCACCTGGAATGGAAGGAGAGGGCGCTCAGGAGGAGACGCGCAGCGACAGCATGGCCTGCCGCCTCCCGTTCCTGCCAGGAGACGGGAGCGCGAAGGGAAGTCGGGATCCGTCAGGGCCCGGGGAGAGCCTAGGACAGCAAACTGATGGAGGATCCCCTCTCCCCACAGTGTAGGGCTGCACAATGGTCCTGGTGCATTCTGGGTTCTCCTCGCACACCTTCCCCCAAAGCCGCAGGCAGCAGCCACTGGGTCAGGCTGGGCAGAGGGATCACTGCCAGGATCTGGGGAGATCTTCCAGCAGGGACACCCCCCCCATGCCAGTGCCACAACAGTGAGGGTAGGATGAGCACAGGGGCCTGGGCCAGTGCTAGCCCACTGGGGGCTCCAAGCAGGAATAGTTTCCGGTCCCCCCACCGACTAATAATTAACAGGGGGCCCCCACTGAGCTGCTTGGGGCCCTAGCAATTGCCGAGCGCTGGCCCTGCCTGGGACCAGCGTGGCCGTGACAAGCTGCTGTGCTTTGCTCAGTCGCTCCCCTCATTAAGCGAGGAGACCACCTCAGTGCCTGGCCCTGCTCCTGGCGTCAGGGCTGCCCCCACGCCGGGGCGGCGAGGGGACGCACCTTCTCGGAGTGCTTGAAGTGTCTCCAGAAGTGGGTGTACATCCGCCTGGTGGCTTTCTCTGGGTAGCAGGCCACAGTTTTGATGTAGACTTTCAAGCTGCGCTCCAGGAGCTGGTTCACCTCCCCGTAGTCGTAGTCGTCGTATCTAGGAGGGGAGGGGAGGGGAGAATCCACATTACCCTGAGAGGAGACCAGGGCCATAGGGTCTCAGCCCAGCTCCTCCTCCCTTCCTTCCCTCCCCCTCCGGCAGCCCTGGCGCCCGAACTCCCCTCCCCATCACAACGGGTCTGCGTCCCGACCGCAGGGACAGGGCCTAGGAGCGAGATGACCCCAGCAGGCCATCCACACACAACTGTGCCCAGAGTAACTGGACCAAGACCACCAGCTTACTGCAGATGGGCAGGGCTTTGGTCACGGCTGCCCATTGGCTGGATTCGAACCAGGCCCCAAAGCCTGTTCCCAGGGACCCTCCGATAATAGCTCAGCTGGAGTATCTAGACGACAGGCCTGGGGCAACCAAGGAAAGAGGGGAGGGGAGAAGTGGGTGTGTCTGAGGGCACGAGCTCATGGGCTCAGCGGGTCCCCAGTTACCTACCTGATGCCGAAGACGCAGTGAATGTAATTCCAGATGGCCCTGCGGAGCATGGTGGTGTCCACCCCGCTGTGCATGGCAATGGTGTTGTAGGTCAGGTTATAGACGACCTGGAACTTCTCGTCCAGCAGCTGCCCCATGTCAGGGTACAGGCGGTTAATCAGCGAGTAGCCGTGGTCTTCCCAGGTGTAATCCTGCCAGGAGAAGGATGCTGGGACAGAGGCTCCAAAACCCCGACGGGAGTAAAGGGCCTGGCCCAGTACCCCATCCACAGGAGTGGGAGTCTCTCCGTGGGCTTGGGGTCGGGTCTCCAGAGAAAACATGAGCTTGGGGCATAGGACACAGCTCCCCGGAAAGGGACCGGCTGGTGATGGCTAACACAGGGCCAGGCCCACAGACCGTTGCCAGCCCCAAGTATGGCCCCACAGCCCTCAATGGGATCAGAGGCCCCGCAGACTGTCTTGCTGCTCCTGCCCCACTCTGACTTTGCACATGTCTGGCTCCACGTCTCTCCCCTCCCCGCGGTCGCCGGGCGGCTGTATCAGGGGAGCGCAGCCCACAGGAGGTACCTGAGCTCGGAAGGTGGGTGGGGCCTGCTCTCCTTTCCTAGTGAAATCCTTGTAGCCAAACTCCGGATCCTCCACGAAACACAGGACGTTGGGAGGCAGAGCATGCTCAGCAATGTCGACTGGATGGAAGACAAAAGCCCACAGGGACGTTAGCGCCTATCGCTGCCCCACGGCAAAGAGCCACCCAAGAAGCCCCAGAGCCACCTCCCACGTTACTCCTCAGCTTTGAGTCACCGGCACAGTCCTCTGCAGAGCAAACCTGCTGCCGTGATCTGCCCTAATGCGAGGTGCAATTAATGCACACCGCACTGTTCACCCATTACCCATGAGATAATTACATCCGACAGCAGGAATCCGTGACAGCCCTTCCCAGCTCAGGGAGCGGAGCCAGCGTGGAGGGAGCTGCTGGCAGTCCCCCCAGGGACGATTCCTCCCCCCTCTCCCGACAACATCTGAGCATCATGCAGCAGCACCATGGCAGAGAGGCCTTGTCCTTCCTACCCCCCCCAAGATAAGCCAGTGACAGGCTATGGCCCATGCAGAAGAGCCACCGAGTGCCTTTCGATCTGGCTGGGACATGTGCCTCTGCCTCTCGCCCGCCCCATCCTCCCTCCTCACCCGAAGGGGCCACAAGCAAGCTCTCCGTCTTCTCCAGCTCGAAGCGGGTTTCCATCTCCTCCTGTGTGACCCCCTCCTCCTCCAGCTGGCACTCCTGAAGCAGCTTCATCCTCGCCATCAGCACCTCCACCTCTTGCATGGCATCTTTGCCCTGGGCACGGTGAGAGAGCGAGCAGGCAGGGTCAGCATCAACGGCAGTTGAGAGAGGGATGAAGCCAACTTCATTCCAAGAACAAAACACCCCCTTTATCGAGGTGCAGAGAGGAGCCCTTGGAGGGACCACATGCCTGTTATCCAGAGCAATCGGCTGCTGGCAATGGGACGTTTTCTGGGGCTTCGTTCATCCCTATGGTGTGATGCCAAGCTGGCACTGTGCCCAACACTATTCAGGTACGACCCGGGGCCCTGTACCTCTATCTACTGTGGGCTAGATTCTGTGCTACACCCCTAAGGAGACACTGCAGAGATGGCGCAGCCCAAAGGAAGGGGCAAGTCACCTTTACTCCTCCCAGATTTGACTCCAGGGCCTGGTGCAGCCGCCAGTGTCACTTAGAGCAGCCCTGAGGCTGCTCTAATGTATGGTTTGCCTCCCCATGCTGCCTATGGGTTGCTGAACCACCCTGAATAGCTGCAATGCAAAAGGTTCCAGCCACTTCATCTTCTCACTAAGCGCCACTCCCAATCCACCCCTCCACTGGGGTCTGTGAGGAGGCACGGTGGATGGCAGCCCTTGGATGCTTCTCTCTGGGGCTGTAACAGAGGCCATAAAGAAGCCACATCCGCAGAGCAGGCACTGCAGCTGGGTGAGAGCCAGCTTGGGCGTTAGCCTGCTGCAATCTCAGCAGGAATGGGGGCGCACCTGCTCTCCTGGGGTTTGGTTGGGGAAGGGTTTGCAGGGCTGCAGATTTAACCCCCTCCCCGGTAGTCATTCGCACCAGGCTCTGGAACTAACTGCCGTGACCAGCACATGGAAAGCCTGGTAGCTGACTGGCCGAGCTCCTAACCCATCCACCCCATGACGGGACCACCAGGCAGCACCAGGAAACCCTTCCAGATTTTTCATGTCATAACAGCCTGGACCAGTCCCACTGTTTCAGTGGCCTGGAGACAATGAACGGTGTGTTACCGAATGGAAGAACCCAGAGCAATTCCCAGGATGTCAAGCTCCAGGCCAGCGTGCTGAGATCAGGGACGGGTGGGAGGAGAGAAGACAGACCCCTTCCCTAACCCCTAGCGTTCAGCAACCTCCATCCCAACTCTTCCACGGCGGGGTGGGTGGCTCTACTGGACACCGGTTACGCATGGACAGGAGGGACGCTCGAGGGCCCCCGACTTACGCTGGAGCCGCTCACTCCGTCCTCGGAGGCTGGGCTGCTGTCGCAGCTGCGTGGCGAAGGCGGCTGGAAGGCATGCCCCCCCTCCTGGTCGGTCTCCAGGTTGATGCCACAGCCGAACACGAAGGAGGCGAGCGAGTGGTAGTGCGTGAGGAGCACCAGGGCCTGGATGAGCTCTGCCAGGGACCAGCTGTTCTCGCCCGTCTTCAGGAGGGCCTGAAACGCGCACACACATTGCCCGGTCAGCTCTTCCCCAGAGGGGACGCATGAGGCGAGTATATCCCCCTCCCCCAACAGACCCAGTGCGGGGCAGATAGAGGGGAGCAGGGCACAGACCACTGCAGATCCTCAGCCCCCTTGTGCCCCATGCCTGTGTCAGCACCTCTGGTCGCAGAATCACAAAGGGGAGGAGGAAGGAGGGCAAGGGGAAGGGCCTTCAGAAGGGTGGCGCCCCCCCCATTCCTCCCTACGAGCCGGGAAACGCAGCTGCTCGCTCAGCTGAAGGAGAGCCCAGAGCCATAGGCCCCCCTCCCCCACTGCTCTGCATCCTTCAGTTCAGGGCGGCGCATCCCAGGTCCGAGCACGACACCAAGCTGCCCTTTCCCCTCTTCACTGCTGGGCCACAGAAGAGGGAAAAGCCGCCCCTCAGGTTGCTTATTGCTGGGCATACACCACAGCTCCCCGCCCCGGGCACTCACCTCTATGTGCTCCTTGGTGATGAGCCAGGGCCGGTGAGCCAGGAGCTTGTTGATTTCGTTGAGGTTCCTCAGTTTCTGGGGGGCACAGTGCAGGCCTTGGAGCCAGCCCGGGTTCCCGCCCACCTTCAGGAACTCCGCCACGTGGAAGCCAACCAGGTAGGAACACTGGTGCCTGGCCGCTGCCTGGGGGTGAGGGCAGAGGAGACAGCGACTATGGTAAGGACCTTTGAGATGGGAGAGAGCACATCACCTAGCCGGTTCTCCCCCGACCCAGGGCAGCCCAGGGCATTTCCCGTCTGCACAGTCTCCAGGGCCGCGTGTCCCCAAGCCTGGGATGTGGGATGGATTGGGGGACACGGACAGACCTCAGTTGTTCTCCAGCTTCTCAGCTGTCTTTTTAATGAGAGGAAAAGTTGGTCTCTAGCTGGTCTGCTTTAGAAAACCTTCCAAATGTGATCCAAGTGTAACTGATCCGGGGGCATCTGCCAAGAGCCTGAAAGGACAGCGCTGAGGTACGAACTGCCCCGTTCTTTTCACTGGGTGCCAACTCGGATGCCCACACTACTTTGCATGCCAACACCGTTAATGATGGGAGTGCTCAAAGCAGGGAAGATCAGATTAGCACGAGTGCTTTGGCCAGTGGAGTCTTTACATGGACTTAAGCCAGGGCAGTTCTGATGCTTCCCCTGGCCTCTTTCCCCACCCCCAGGAGACCCCAGCCGGGGCCCGATCGATTTCACTCTTAGCAAGTTGTTCCTGATAAGCAGCCCCAGATTTACCGCTGCTCAGTTCTACCCCCCTGCTCCCAATTCCACGCCCTAAAGCACTATGAACTGTTCTCCTACAGGCATTCAGATACTCACCCGTTCCCAACCCTCCCCACGGCACCCTGGCCCACAGGACCCGAGTGCCTGCCTCCCACCAGAGGCGCTTACCATGATGGCGATGTAGTGGCGCTTGTGGTAAGGCAGGGGCCCATCCAGGCGCAGCAGCAGGTACTGTGTCTTCCAGAAGCTGGCCAGGTACTCCGGGTGCAGCCCCATCACCATGGTGATGTTATCCACCCTCCCCGCAGAGACGAAGGCCTCAATGAAGAGCTGCCGCTGGGCCCTCTCCGTGCCCTCCTGCAGGATCTGCGGGGAGAGAGAGAGAGACGCTAAGAATGCAGCTGCCCCAGGAGGCTCCCATCCCCATTTATCGTGGGACGCAATGGGGGTCAGGCAGGCAACTGCCCCGACCCAAGTGCTAACAGCACAAGCTTCCTAGCTAACCATCCAGGCCCGTCCCCAGAGGTCACCGCTTGCATCAGGGTCATTTCAACACACCGATTGCCCCCTAACCCTCCAGCCGCCCCACAGCCGGCAGGGGCAGGAGTTCGGGAGGTCTGGGCTACAGGGAACAATGGCTTTGTTTTGGGGCTTTTCAGTAACAAGCATGGAGAACAATGCTCTGCACACAGTAATACCACTTAGCTCTTAGAGAGCGCATGGGATTACATAGGCAGCTCCTTTTATCTACAGGCCTAGAGGCACGTTACAGTCATCAGGCCACAAACCCCCCCAGGAGGTCAGGACCAGTCACCCCCATATTAGACAAGAGGGTAAGCTACGTGCCTAGAGTCCTGCCGAGTCAGCCATGGCAGTGCTGGGAAGAGACCCAGCCGGGAGGAACTAATACCCTTTTACTGCAAGCTCCCTGGGGCACGGACTCTCTTGGTATGTTTGTACCGCACCTAGTGTAACGAGGGCCTGGTCCGGGGCTGTGGTTTCTAGGTTCAATACAAACATTGACTAATTATAGCCAAAGGCAGCAGAGACCGAGGGCAGAGCCAGGCCCCGGGAACTGCCGAGCTCAGGCACCCACGCTGTGCGCCCTGGAGCAAGCCTGTTGCCCAGCTCGCCTCTCTGCAGTCCCCGGCGCAGCGAACGCCCTGCAGAGCCCGTCTCATCTTCCTACGGCTGTCAGCTGGCTGCACTCGATCGTTAACAGCGCGATTGCCCCACCTCTCCGGGCTCCCCAGGGCTTTGGGGAGGAACCAATAGAAACCCAGCTCAAGAAGGGCTCGATCTGTTTCCTGCAGCAGGCCTGGCGCCCCGCCAGCTGATGCAACAGATCTGTTTGTTCAAGCTACCCTCCGCATGCGGTCTCCTCCCCCACCACGCCCCCCAGCACACGGCGGGGTTACAATGGGTTACAACAACAAGAGAGCCCTGATAAGGAGTGGTGGGTGCCCAGCTCTGCACCCTGACGTCAGTGGTAGAAGAAACTGTCCGTGCAGCCAGCCCGGGAACACAGCGATATGGCTGCTGGCCAGCCAGGGCTCGACAGGCCTGCTGGGAGGTGCCAGTGTTGAATCAGGAGGAGGTGGCTACCTGCCCAGAGGGCATCAGAACCAGAGCAATTCTCAGTCTCATAGCAGGGCGATTAGGAGTTGTTTAATCACCGTCCTTGGGCCCCCGCCCCGGGCTAGAAAGGCGGATGATGCAATCGGACGGGCACGAACAGGCTGGGCTGCAATTAGCTCATTGTTTGTGAGCAGTGCGGTGAAGGTCGCTGGACAAATCAAGCAATGATGACAGCAGAATGATACGGAAAGCCCCTGTCTTGCTGCACGACGCCAAGGGAAGCAAGTGGCCAGCTCTTCCGAAGGGCCCGCGAGCACACCCAGGGGCCAGGCAACCCCCTTTGCCTACAGCAGTAGCTCTCAACCAGGGACCCAGGGCTCCCTAGGGGGTCTCGAGCAGGTTTCAGGGGGGCCTCCAAGCAGGGCCAGCATTAGACTCGCTGGGGCCTAGGGCAGAAAGCCAAAGCCCCACCACATGGGGATGAAGCCCGGGTCCCTGAGCCTCCCCACCTGAAGCCTGAGCAATGGAGCTTTGTGGGGGGCCCTGCGGAATGGGGCCCTGGGCAATTGCCCTGCTTGCTACCCCCTAACACCAGCCCTGGCTTTTAAATGCAGAAAACCAGATGTTGTGGCACAGCTGGGCCGTGGAGTTTTTAGAACATATTGGGGGGGCCTAAGAAAGAAAGAGGTTGAGAACCCCTGGCCAAGAGGATATCGACAAGCCCCCCACTCCCCAACTGGGCACAGAGTCACCTGACTGGAGCGACACCTCGCTGCGCCTGCCATCTGGGGATCAAGGGACACAGCCCTGTTTCTACACAAGGCTCAGAGGAGCAGCGAATGCAGGGGGAGGCCGCGAGAGAAATCCGGGTCACAACTCAGACCCCTGCCAGGCCACTAGACTGTGCTGTTTCCCCTGGACATTTCTGACCAAGATCCCCTCCTCCTGTGGCCTCCCAACATGGGGGGGCGGGGGAGAGAAGAAATCTTTCTTCCCTGGCACAGGGGCCTAGGCAGGTCTCCAACTTATTGGAGAAGCCCCGTGCAGCCTGCTGAGAGCCAGAGGTCACGGAGGCCAGCACTCTTCTGCTCTGAGCACACAGCCAGACCTCTATCCCCAGGCAGGTGGCAAGCAAGAACCTCTCCCTCCCGGCCTGCCCAGGGTTTGCTGTCACAAGGGGCCCTCTTGTGCCACACACCAGGGCTGCGCCTTGCTGCTTCCTCACCACCCCTACCCGACTCTCGCCATCCCACGTGCTGGAGCAGCTCGCTCATGAGCGTGACAGGCCATGGTGGGACGAGTGGGCAGAAAGCAAACGAAGGGGAATCTTATACCACCTCCCCGCAACAGCTCCCATTCCAATCTATGGGGCAGCCAGATATTCCCACCGGCACTGATCCACAAGGACACACTCCTTCCCAACCCTCTTCCATGCTGCTCAGCTGGTTGGGGTGCCGAGATGGATCAAACAGAGATCCTTCCCCACGCACTAAGTAGTCAGACAGTTCGCTACCACCATAGCTCTCCCACCCTGGCAAACAGGGGCTGGAAATCAGACCCCCAGCCTCCCCTGCGGCCCCAGCCCCAAAGAGTGGGGAACACATCTGCCCCCAGGAGCCTCAGAGAGAAATCAATTTGCCCCCGTATCCTACCTCCTCCACGGGGATGAAGGAACTCGGGCCTCTTCCCAGCTGCCGGGGGATTTTTATTCCTCTGTCCTAGGAAAGAAGAAAAAAAAAAAGGAATCGACTTTAAGACATTGCCCAGTGTGGCGCTGAAAGAAATCGGGGCCGTCCCAATCCTGCCAGGGTGAGAGCTGCTTGCCTTCTCTCCAGAGGAGGGACAAATCAGAGCTGGTGTCAGGCCTCCCTCCAGGTGAAGGCAGTGGGACAGGAAGGGGTGACTCATGCAGTTACCTCATCAGACAAGTCCCCAAAGTAGCCAGGTATCCGGAGCTGCTCTGTCTGTGCACTCTCCTCCAAACAAGCCTGCAGCAATTCCTCAAGTGGGTTTGCATCAGGCACACCTCCATATGAGCCAGCCGCCCCAGCAGAGGTGCTGCGACTTACCAGCCACCCGCCCACATGATGCCTCTGGCCAGGAGGCGGAAGATAACCTTTTAAATGTGACAGAATTGCTTCAAGGGATATCCCCTAGCAGGGCTGGGGCGTCTAACGGGCACTTGTGCTGTCTGATGAAATAGCCTGGCTCGGTTACATAGAAATAGGGTGACCAGAGAGCAAGTGTGAAAAATCGGGACGGGGGTGGGGGGTAATAGGAGCCTATATAAGAAAAAGACCCAAAAATCGGGACTGTCCCTATAAAATCGGGACATCTGGTCACCCTACATAGAAAGCTTTGCTTCACACAGCTAGTCTGACATTAGGACAGTGAGCTGGAGGGTTGTTTTTTTTAAGCCGTGTTTAAACCCCCCTCCCCCGATTTTCGGATACACAAAAGGGAATGTAAAGGCGGAAGGGCCAGTTCAGCTGGGGGCTGGAGATTTAGTGCCAAGTTATGGAACCCATGAGTACGCAAATGAAAAGAGCAGAATGGCATTACAAGATGCCCTTTGCTCACTTGAGTTGTCCAGTGGTTTTAATTATTTATGAGGTGTTGGGTCTTGCGTTACCTGGAGCACCCTGCGGAGGGAAATCAAGGCACTGATAGCATAGACAGCTTTAACACGGGTTCAAACGCACCCACAGAACTGCTCATGTCTGGGCTGGCAACGGGTGGCACTGCGACCTGGCACGCGGGGTCAGAACACCAGTCAGGTTTGGCACCTGCCATTGATGGCGAAACTCGCCAGGCCCAGATCCCGCCATCAATCTTTGCCGACGAGCTGGGAGAACACACATATGTTGCTTGTGAATTACATGGGCCGGGGCTGAGGGAAGCGTGTCTCACTCAGCGAGAGTGAAGGTGGTTTAAGTTGTTTGGAGGAGGGTTTGGGTGTGAGCACCGAATGCACACGTATATAGATTCCCCATCCAAATGTGCGAGGAGCTCTCGATGTAACAAGGAACACACCAGAAAATGAATCCCCCCAAACATAACTGAAGAACAGTTAGAGTGAAACAGCCAACAACCGCAAGCCAGGCAATGCAGAAGCCCAAATTCCCCACCCTAATGCCCTGAAGGTCACCCTGGGGCCATACTCTGAGGCCATAGGGCCCTCACAGACAATCCCCAGGCAGCTAGCTTTGAATGGTGCTTATGCCCAAATAAATCTGTTAGTCTTTAAGGTGCCACCAGACTCCTTGTTGTTTTGGGGGATGCTTTAGGTATTCAAGAACCACAGGGTGCGAATGCTTTTGCAGGGGGAGGAGAAAGGGGGAGAGTGGGATGCATAGCTGCAGAGGGCACTGGTATATTCCAAACAAATGCTTCTCCTCAGTCCCTAAAGCTGCTTTTCAGGAGGGGATCCCTCCAGGTAAATGCTCCGGGAACTGCTGCCTTTGCCCTCCAGGGGTGTGTGTGGGAGGTGTTTGAGAGCAGGATCAGGATGGGCCATTCAGCGCCTCGTGGCTGCATTCCACTGCCTCAGTGGCATTACTGGAGTGACACTCACTCCACAAGGTCCCAAACTGTACACAGACATCACCTCTCAAATGCAGCCACTTCTGGGGTGGAGGACAGTATGCCACACAGAGCACGGGGAAGAAAGGGAGAACAAACAAGCCTTGAGCAAAAACTCTTGGGCAAAGCCCTTCAACTTTTGCAATGATCTTTAAGCCCCGATTTCAAGCGGGCAGAAACTCAGGTTCAGGTCTCTTCCCTCACACAGTCAACTGCACTGTACCCAATTGTTTCTTTTGGAGGGCAAAGACCCCGAGATCTGAAACTGCGGCTCAAGGCTCTCTACCAAGGGGAACTCATCCCGGGCACATAGGGGGACTGTCCCCACCTTGTTGCACAGAGCCTTTCCAAAGGCTTGGTGCACTCGCTCCAGAATTAAGCCACAAACGTCTCCATTTGGTGTAAAGCTCCACCCGGCTGCAGCCACTTGTGCCCCTGGGTTGAACCCACGGTGACAGCCGGCCAGCTGTGGTTGGGAGGGGATTTAAAATGTAAAAGACAGTTTTCTGAAGCTGGAGGAGAGCGAGGGCACTGGGAAAGGGCAAGGGAGAAGCAAAGACCTAGAGATGTTGAGGAGGCGGGCTCATTTAAAGCTGCCTCACTCGTAACACGCTGACTAACTCTCTGCTCTATGGTACTTTTGTCCCCATGCTTCTCTCTTTTGTATTTCACTCAGTTCAGCCGGTGCATTTCGCTTTCACACAAGAGCATCTTATTCGTGTACCAATTTTCAAAACCTAGGGGGAAAACACATTGCTTGGATCACAACAATGCCTGGAGGTACCAGCCAAAAATCAGAGCTCCAGACCAGGTGAGGGGTAGCTCCTACCCCAAAGTGCTCACAGTCTAAGAGGATGGAGGAAAGGGGGTATTATCATCTGCATGAGATGGGGAGTATTTTACAGGTGGGGAACTGATCAGTGAAGAGACCGTCCACAAACTCTGGATTCCCAGAGCCTTAACCAACAGAAAAATATTTTTCTTTAAACCCAAACTTTGACTGTGAGTTCCCTGAGGAGGGAACCGCCTTGTACCAGGAGTCGGCATAGCACTTAGCAAGGAACTGATCCGCTCCATGGTAAAGTCATCCCAAATTCCTACCGCCTCATGTTGCCTTTGGAACCACAGCTTCAAATCTCTATCTTCAGCCTCTAAAAGGTAAAACTGCTTTAAGGCCAGGGCATAAAAACAAACATATCAGAAATCACAGAAATGTTGGGCTGGAGGAGTCCATCCCCTCGCGCTGATGCAGGGCCAAGGATCGATCAGGTGCTTAGCCAACCTGTCTTGAAGGACGGGGATTCCACAACCTCCCTAGGTAACCTGCTCCAGCGCTGAACTATCCGTATAGCAGAGCATGATCGGCAGACGACACGCTCAGTGGAGAACAGGCACAAAGGATCATAGAATTAGAAGGGACCACAAGGGCCACGAGTCTAACCCCCAATCAGGTCATATCAACACACGGAACATGGCCCTCCACGCTCCAAACAGTTCAAATGCACATGGGCCACGCACATGACATTTCCTACTTGTTAAGACCATTTGAGAGTGACACACCAGGCCTAGCTAGAAGTGGGACGGGACAGAATCAAAGGGTTCATGAGCTTCCATCTCCAGACACAGGCGGACTGCTAGCGGACACTGCACAGGATGGGACCCAAGCCAAGCCCTGGCTGAGAGACACATGCCAGGTGCTTTTGCAGGCTAACCTTTGCCCTCCCTCACAAGTAACAGCTCAGAGGGACTCAGGACAGTTTCCCAGTGAAGTCCAATGACAAGAGCAGATATAGAGCATCTAGAGGAGGAAGCAGACAGGCCGGGCCAAGAGGGAACTAGCCCACATTGTGACACCTAACTGAAGCAGGTTGCTGGTTTTCACCAGACATTCAAGTCAGCCAATCACACCAGGCTGTCACCCCAGCCTACCCGGGTTACTAAAGTTCATGGTGATGTTACCTGCTGCGGGCAGCAATCTTGCCTAGCAGACTCTAGGATTAAAAACAAGACTGGAGAACCTGCGTTAGCCAAGGGTATGGGCTGGAGGGGTAAAGGGCCACGTCACACAGGGACTTGGGATAGCTAGAGCCAGCTTTAAAAGAGACCCGCGGAAGTGTAGGGGAAGGTGGAAGAGAGGGGAACTGGACTTGTTTGCTTTTCTCCTTTATAGTGGACACACTGCAAGAGAAAAAAAATCCTGCTAATTTTTTCCCAAATTGGAAATTCACCTCTCATCTACCCTCTAGGTTCTATGGGACCAGAGAACTCATGGAGTTCCCCAGCTTTCAGTCCCTTGTGACGTGGGAGCAGAAGATAAGATTTTATTCAAAAATGATTAAAATGTGAGGAGAGGGCATAGGTAAGTGGGAACCCCCACCACTGGGTAACTCCAATGCCCAGGGAACATTTGGGAAAAAGGCTGTCTGGTAAAGATTCAACATCCCTGCCCGTTCTCTAAAGGGGACAGTTCACAAAACTCCTCTCCTAACACACACACACACGAACACACAACACTGGCCAACTCTGATATTTCTACGGCAAACTGCACACAGAAAAATCCATTAGTCACACACCACCCCAGTCAGGCACCTTTAGACAAAGCGAGCAGAACGAAGCAAGGGTGTAAACACACCCTGGGCAATAAACCCCATTACTGCAAATGCCAATCAGCAAGAGTCTCTCCTGCCCTCCACCGAAGAGCAAAGGGTTGCTCCCAAGCACAGCTGGGCCAGCTTTGTGTTTATTTCTAGAGGAAGCACAGTTTCTCATGAAAGGCTTGAGCCTGTTTGGGAGGCAGACTGCGTGTCCCAAGAGGGCTCTGCCACAGTCCTGCTGGGTGCCCTTGGGCAAGTCACTTCACTGTTGTGCCTCAGTTTCCCCATCTTTAAAGTGGGGATGATGACACTGACCTTTGTAAAGCACTTCAAGATTGAATGATGAAAAGCACTACTGAAGAGCGACGTGTGATTATTATCCAGCCCTTCATGTTTATCATTCAACCATGTATTCCTGTCAATTTACATTTCTTTCCATGTAGTCACCCAATTTCTGCTGAAGTTCATTACACTCAGTTCCTCCAGCTCACCTGTAAGCTCACTCACCATTCTTCAGACCTTTCAGAACTCCTTTACTTTTC